ATCCTGGGTAATCACTGCCGCCAGTGCGAACGTCCCGGGCACGTTCCCGCTGGCTCGATAGGCCTATAATATTTAAGGGTCATATATGATCATAAGGTGCGGCGGCGAAGGTAGTTTAAAATCCTGGAAGTCACTGCCGCCAGTGAGAAGGTCTCCGGAACGTTCCCTTTGGCTACTGATAGGCCTAGTAATAGTTAAGGGTCATTCGGTCCTATGCCTGTCAAGATATTTGATCATAAGGTGCGACCGCGGAAATGGTTTAAAATCCTAGGAAATCACTGTCGCTAGTGAGAACGTCTTGGGAACGTTCCCGCTGGCCCGATATATGCCTACTTATGGTTACATGTCAGTTTACCTTGTGCATGTCAAGATATCTGATCATACGTTGTCCCAATACCAAGGATCTTTGGGTTCGGAACATAATTGAATATCAAACGATCTGATCTAAGCCCTAGTTATTCTAAAAATCTTAGATTTTATTGGAAACGTGGGGTAAATATATATAAAAACTGGCATAACGACGAAACAACCATTTTAAAAGAAAAAATTATTTGGGACATGTAGGCAATCGTTAACATGCCTGATATTTGATAGCTCCGATCATACACCAGGACCGATGATATACAAGTACTTCTTTTTAATAGGTTCCTCACATTCTACTTAATCTATCATATGAATTGAGTATCATTGAGACGTGCTCAAACTACATGTATACATTATATAATTTCTATTTTATATGTCTGTCTATATTTTGTGTCTATGTGAAACAAATAGACTTAAATATGAAATATTGAACACCACCTGTGTCACGATCCTAGAACAATGGTCATATACATTCTGGAATGCGTTTCGTACATACTAGCCTTTTCATACCTTGGAAACCATACCTTGGAAGTTGGCTTAAAGTTGTACAAAACTTATTTGCCCTTCTGTAACCATTGATTTCATTATTGTAGTTATATATCATTTTTCTACAAAATTTATTCTGTATGTTTTTTCCAAAACAGTAAAAACACAATTTCATCACTCACAAAACGAAAGGTTAGAATGATACCTACTTTATTATTTTATTTCAGAAGGTTGCCGGTCATTTTCGTTTTGGAAGTGGGGTTTTAAATTGCTTAATAAGTCACGAGCACGTGAACGGGAATGGATGATTTGCTGATTCTTTTATGGTTATGAGGGTGCTCTTTTAAATCAGACCCTCAATCAGAAAGTCATAAAAACTATCAGGACACTTTGTTGGCATGGCATTAAAAGGATAACCGCTTGAAATAAAATCGTGCGGGAGGAAATGACACATACACACCGGCTTAAATTCAATCCAAATTTGACGAAAGTATTCAAAAGGGGAGGGAAGGGGCAGCGTTGCTGGAATTATGCTGGAAAATAATTGTCCGAAAATAGCAAATGAATCAGGAAAATGAGGAAACGTTCGCAATATTTCTTTTGCTCCAGGCTTGTCTGCACTACAATACTGGGAAAGAATATTGCAATAGACAAAGAAAGAGTAAAACTGTGATATATCACCATCAGACAACTATTAAAAGAAATTATATCATAAAAATAGGGACAAAGTTGAAAGGATTATCTTTTTGCTCCAGCCTTCTCCGTATTAAAATAGACAGTTACGAATATAACCGCGACAAATTGCCATCAGCCATCTTTAAAAGGTTATGATGGTAGAAATATCGACAATATTACAGCATTAATGTCAAAGAAATACATTTATTCTGTCATTTTGACGATCATGATTCTCTATAGACGTATATAAGCCTATTTACCAATATTCCAACACTTTTTTGGCTTGGGTCTTTCTTTCATAAAGTGTTGTGTGAAAGTCCTGTTATATCATAGTTGCCTAGTGATGATAAATGTGCTATTTTGAACCGCCCATAACCACGGTATGATTTTGTAAACGCAGCTGCCGCGAAGGTCAAAATCTATTGTCTGGCATTCACCTGTCAACAGGTGGCGCAAGTCATCCCCGAACCATAACAATCATTCTACCTCTAAAATATTATTCATTATTTTACAACACTCACACACGCTTTAATACACCCTCCCTAGTATAAACGCACACATTAATCTGGTACATGTAACATGAAATCGAAATATTTCGAAACATGAAACATCTAAATGTACCATTATTCACGGGTTGATAACAAAATGTGTTTTTCGAAATAGAATTCGACCATGATGTGGACTGGAGATTTCAACCTTTGTACAAATGTGGGTACTGGTCACGCATGCAATAATATTGTTTACAAAAATGTATGGAAGCAATTTGAAAGGGATTGATGATGTAGAAAGATGAGTAAGCATTCGGATTAGGGGCCGACGAAATTAATATTTATCCCTAACGCTTAACCCCACAAATTTAGTATCATCATTCTAAACTGGTGTCCAAAAGTACAGCCCGAATATGCCATGAGTATTGACTTATTTGTATTAGATTCCCTTTTTCATTTGCATTTGAAATTGTTACTTTACTATAAACATACTTTCCAGCTTTTCGTCAGTGAATGTGGTTTAATAACACTTTATTTATACGTTGCTTGGTCCATTGCACGCAAGGCGTCATTTAGCTTGATGCAAAGAGGCGTCTGCGACTAGTACGAAATTTGACGCACCATTTAGGAGCAATAATGTACATAAAGTGAGTACATAATGAAAAGAGCAAATGGTTTAATTACCGTCACAGAATCAATTAGCGCAAGTAATGACGCAACCAAATTGGCACCTCTTCTGTAACGGATATCAGAGTGCCCGAGTATAAAGTCAACGACACTCTTACGCTAACTACCTAACACCTGCTAAGGCTTAAAGTTCAGGTGACATAAATAATACTTTCCTAGAACTGCTAATACCTAGCCTCGAAGAGGAATGTAATACGGATTATTAAAGTAGAAATACGTGGGATATCAATTTAGCCATTAGCGGCTGGAGCCTCCCTTGATATCTATTCCCTACAAAACATGTGTTAATTTCTGATAAATATGAAAGATAATTTGGGAGCTTTCATTTTTCATTTATTTTATTGTTTGAATAATCATTTATCCTCCGTTCATGTCAGTTTGGAAGAATATTATAATACAGAAGTCCTCTTTAAAGGATTGCTATCAATATGCCTTCATATTCAAAACATAATGAGAACTAAAAAGTTGAAAGGAGCTGGAGGGTTTAGACCAAAATTATATGTAGTCCCATATACCTATAATTCTGTGCAAGTCATCTCATTTTTAGTTAAACTAGGTCGGTTTCTTTCCAGTTTAATTATTCCAAATCCTCACATTTTAAATCAATTCGTATAGTACATTATCATTTTTTCCCCACTGGCTTCCAGGCAGTTTTATTGTTCACATTGCAATCGCGTGACCGGTATCGGCTTTATCTTTAATTTAAATTAGTGTAAGGATATTGTCATGTAGTAGCCTATAGCTATCTGGCCGATTAAAAACTTCCTTCCCTCCAATTATGTTGTGCCTGCCAAAGTACATCACATTAGTCACTCCGCATTGTCAGTGGCTGAAGACTCGTGAAATCATGTTCATTTTCTTTGTTGATTAAGATAAACTTGAGTACAGGGGGTGTTTCACAAAGATTTAAAGCCGAACTTAACTCTAAGTTGGACTTATTATGGAGAGCCATTTGTAGCCTTATTTTGAAATATATTAAAAAGCAAAAATCCAAGTATTTTAGACTTTTTATAAATTCCACATCAAGCACATGAAATCTCTCATGAAAATAGAAAATATGAATGATTTGAATCAACATTCTATGCCTTTTAAAATAACTTTTACAAAATAATTTCATAGATGCTAATGGCTTTCCCTATTTTTTAAGTCCAACTTAGAGATAAGTTCAACTTAGGATCTTTGTGAAACACCCCCCTGGTCATGTATTACAATATGAGAGAATATGTCTAGAAATGATTGAGAAATGCTGAATAAACATGATTTTGTATTATGGGTATTTTAGAATCATCAAAACGAAACGATGTTTCCTTTGTAAAGCAATGTACACACAAATATGACTACATGGGACTACGTCCACTCCCTCACTCACTCATATACACATTCACGTACATAGCAGCAAAAGTTGGTCCAAAGTTTTAAATATTTCTCGTTGAATTATAAAGCAATATTTGACTTCAAATCAATTAGCAACTCTCGTACTCTTGTAAACATAAAAGTTCTACAGTTTCACTTTTTTATTGAATTAAGAACTCTAATATATATGGAATGTGAGGGTATAACAAGAGCAATGTTTTTTCGTTGTTCTTATTAGGGGGGGGGGGTTGTGAGTGTGTGAGACCTCATTCCATAGAGAGGAAAAAATGGTTATCCCCAAAATCATTTTCTCCTCCACAAGATCTAAACTTCTTGTTTAACATATTAACATGTATGCAGTGGAATAATATGTTGAAAATAGAAGAGACTAAAATAATTCAATTGGAAAGACGATTTTGAAAACTTATTCTATGTTTTTACAAGGTTAAACTTACTGGAAACATTTCCGTTTTGAGGTGCGGTATCATGAACGGGAAACATGTTTAGGGAAAAAGATCTATTAATTTTCTGAAGATGACCCTTCACCTAAATAACAACTTACTTTTCTTTAAATACACTTTCACATCTTTTTGAATTATATGGGGCCTCCTTTTTTTCGTTCTATCAAAATGTGTTATATACGCAAAATAAAGTTTGGTCAGAGTACAGGATTAGGAGGCAGATTAGGAGTTAAGGCAAAAACAGGGTTGGATATATATTATTATGTGGATGTACGCACATGTCGCCATATTAACTCTTGCCGCTAACTTGTCCCCCTTTGGGTATTTCCTGCTGCGTATTCTGGTCCAAAATTAGTCACTCTTTGCGCATTTCCTTCATTTGCATACGATCCACCCCTTTTAGGAGAGGGGCGTGGCGACTGCTGCTTCCGTGCCGTGTGCAAACATCCCCCTGACCCCTTCAGCGCACGTTTATGTGCATTCGAAGCCAGGCAGCTCACTTCAGTAAGTCATTCTGTGAATTCACTCTTACTGTTGAACATTGTGCAGGGTTATACAGCCAGATACTTGCCTGAAAGGAAAACAACAGAGAACTTTACTTAGCCATGAAGTTGTTGGCAATTTTACTCGTCCTGCCGGCGTTATGCTTTGGCCAGCGACAGCAGGGACCAGGAATGGGTCCAGGAATGGGACCAGGCATGGGTCCAGGAATGGGACCAGGCATGGGACCAGGTATGGGACCAGGAATGGGACCAGGGATGGGCCCAGGCCAGGGCCAGGGCCAGGGGCAAGGACAGGGACAAGTCGGAGGCTCAAAATGCAAGGGAGGCTGGTTCCTCATCGGGCAGCAATGCTTTAAGATGATGTCCAGAGCGCTGAAATGGAACGACGCTGAGTTGATGTGTGAGCAGAACGCACCATGCGGAACCCCTGTTCTCGGAGGCGTCATGACCATCCCCGACATCCAGACATCGAACGCCGTCATCAACCACCTCAAGAGCCTGTCATCCACGCCAATGGCCATCGATATCCCATTCTGGACCGGTCTGCACAACAAATGGAACGCACTTCTTGAGAGGTACGAAGGGTGGAAGTGGCCGGCCGGATGGAGCACCACACAACAACCTCTACGGTTCGTCAACTGGGCCCCAAGGGAACCCAACAACCAGCTTCTGGATCAGCAGCACTCGTACTGCGCAGCCATGAACAGGATGGGACAGTGGTACGTCGTAAGATGTGACGAGCCTATGTACTTCGCGTGCTCTATGCCGGTCAGCCCACCACTCGTTGGAGGAGCTAACACCAACCCCGGTATGGGAATGCTTGTGGAGAACCCCGCCCCGATCATCGACGGATACATCGAATTCGAAAGTGGTCTGCTGATGAGGGACGGCGTAGGAGGCCCGTAAGACTCTCACAAAACTTTAATACAGTGTCATGACTAGCTCGTGATCTAAAAATTCAAAATGGCGGACGTGTGAACTTTGACCCAAAGCCGTTGGAAAGAGAGAGCGAGAGAAAACCATGGCAAACCTTTTTGAAAGGATTGTCCACCAAACCAGCAATATTCGCAATTACCACGATCTTTCGCTGCAAGATATTTTAATTCATTGATATTTAATTTTAAATGAAACTGATAGTCTAAACTATTTCGTAGTCAGGGATGGGTTTTCATAAAGAATTTCAAAAAATTGCAGTGATCGTAAGTTGAAATAGTTTTGTGATGTTTATATTTTCTATGTTAAATTTGAAACAAGAGGATGTACAATATACTATTTTGCAACAAATGTAAAATTTCCATTAAACAAATTAATTTCATTGTACGCAATTGTGTGAATTTATCCTTTTTTGATTGCTACTGGTGAGCTGAGTTGTTATTCTTGGATTAATGGCTGCTTGATTGATTGATTTGATGGACAGAAATATTGAATGATTGATTGATTTGGTGGACAGAAATATTGAATGATTGATTGATTTGCAGATGGACTAATTGGTTGATTGATTGGATGATTGATACTTTGATTGATTGTTTGATCGGTTGATCGATTGGTTGGTTAGTTAATCGATTGGATGGTTGATGAAGTACTGAATCAATAAATAAATGAACGATTGATTGAAAGATTGGTTGGTTGGTTATTTTATTGATTGGATGATTCACGAAATAGAGATTCAATAAATTAATGAGCGATTTGATTGATTGATTGAAAGATTGGTTGGTTGGTTAGTTTATTGATTGGATGATTCACAGAATAGAGATTCAATAAATTAATGAGCGATTTGATTGATTGAGCGATTAAATGAATGATTGACGAATTAAAATGATCAATATTATGATTGATTGATTGAGTGAATGATCAATGGACTAAATGGTCGACAGATTGATTGATTGATTGATTGGTGGACTCATTGATTGATTGATTGATTGATTGGTGGACTCATTGATTGATTGATTGATTGGTGGACTCATTGATTGATTGAATGATTGGTGGACTCATTGAATGATTGATTGATTTATTGGTGGACTCATTGATTGATTGATTGATTTATTGGTGGACTCATTGATTGATTGAATGATTTATTGGTGGACTCATTGATTGATTGAATGATTTATTGGTGGACTCATTGATTGATTGATTGATTGATTTATTGGTGGACTCATTGATTGATTGATTGATTTATTGGTGGACTCATTGATTGATTGAATGATTGGTTGGTGATCACTTGGGATTGATCCTAAATATTAGATTTGAAGGTCGGGTGTGATTACTGGTAGTGATGAGGACAGCGATGTGAATGTTGCCGATGACGATGATGATGATAATGATGGTGATGGTGATGATGATGATAATGATGGTGATGATGTTGATGATGATGATGATGATAATGTTGGTGATGGTGATGATGATGATAATGATGTTGATGATGCTGATGATGATGATAATGATGGTGATGATGATGATAATGTTGGTGATGGTGATGATGATGATGATGACGGTGATGATGATAATGATGGTGATGATTTTGATGATGATAATGATGGTGATGATGATGATAATGTTGGTGATGGTGATGATGATGATGATGACGGTGATGGTGATAATGATGGTGATGATGTTGATGATGATGATTTTGATGGATATGATGATGATAATGTTGGTGATGGTGATGATGATGATGATTATGATAATGATGGTGATGATGATGATGATAATGTTGGTGATGGTGATGGTGATGATGATGATGATAATGATGATGAAAGTGATGATGATGAGGATAATGATGGTGATGGTGATGATGATGATGATGATGGTGATGGTGGTGATGGTGATGATGGTTATGATGATGTTGTTAAAATGATGATAGCGATGATAATGAGGATAATTATGAAAATGATGATAGCGATGATAATGACGACGGTGATGGTGATGATGACGATGGTGGTGGTGATGATGATGATGTTGAAGATAATGATGATATGGATGAAGAGGAGGAGGAGGAGGAGGATGATAAAGACAATGAAAAGAGTTGAGACGAACTGATCTTTGTTCATGAATAAATTATAGAGATGGAAAATAAATGCGAGAGATCGTTCCATCAATGTCTGTGATCGTTCAGCTCTGAACGATATCGATATTTCAGGCTCGAGTCAGGTATTATCGTTAGCATATACGATAGCTGAATTCAAGAAGTGGGTACCGTTTCCCTATCTCACTGCTACTAATTGACAAAAAAACGAATGTCAAACACTACAACAGAGGAATAGGAACGTTTTCGAAATATTTCAGATTTCTACAATACTCCTTGCAATGCGTTCTGCTGCATTTTCATTATTTTGTTGACTGAATAGCAAAAGTATTTAGCATTCCAATGACATTTCAAAAGTTAAGATACTTCGTTTACTATCATTAACAAAATTCCTATGGAAAAAAAATTGATATGTTTTACGAATCATAAAGAAGGATTTTCCTATGAGTGGAGCTTCGTGGTGTGACAATCTTTTGACACTCGTAGACCTCATCGTCCCAGGGCACTTTTGGAAGACAGAAAACGAAATAATATGCCAGAGTATTTTAAGACATCAAATAGGAAACTTTTAGGAATGATTTTGATGAAGAAAAAATAGAAGGATGAATACAAGTTGTTTGTTCAATATAGGCGTCCTTCTGGAAAAAAATTATTTCCCGAGCTTTTTCGATATTCCCGCTAAACCCCCCCCCCCCTTCTTCTTTCTCTCTCTCTCTCTCTCTCTCTCTCTCTCTCTCTCTCTCTCTTTCCGACTCTATCTCCCTCCCTCCCCCCCCCCCCTCTCTCTGTGTCTATGTACCCCAAAGACACAATATTTTGTCACTCATGGCTTCAGGCGCTGGGGGCGCTTTGGGGGCTTGGGGATTGTTGTCATAATGTTAATGCCCAAGCCTCTTCTATGGAACCGCCACTACATGACTTTGTAATTATTGTTATTTTGAACAAACCAGACTACTGTCACCGTGGTAATGAAAGGAAAAAGAAGGCCACTGCCAAAAGTCAACGGACAATCGGGAAGGGGCTAAAATTCCAAACTTAACCAGAAAAGGCAAACTCACCATGCTCCTGGCTATTGCCTGTGCGGTGACTTAATGATTTTGCATTCTACCATCGGGTTAGAAAATCTCGTGCAAATTACCAATTATGGTTTCAAAATCTCATATTCTCTCTTATCGCCTGAGCCACCCTAAAAATGAACTTAGTGACGTGCGGTTCGTTCACGTGCTGGTGAATGTTTTCCTCGGGGGGTTTATACAGGATTGCCTCGATCAAAGACCGAGAAGGCACGGGGCCGTTCTGCGTCACAGAACCGTTTCGTGCGCCTACATGAGTCTGCCTTTTGAAGTAAAGATATTTGTTTTAAAGAAAAGTATCCAAGTAGGTTCGATGTTACGTTAACAATATTTGATATATTTTCGTTTTAATCTGAGAGATGGATCTTTACGATATGGAAATCTTTCATTTTGTCAGCACATGATCGTGTTTCCTCTTTCCTAAAAGTAACACCAAAAAGTGTTACATTTTCTTCCCAATTTCAGGCTCAGTCCGACTCTGAGCAAGGGCGTCACAAGACCATTTTTAGGAAAATAAAGATCTTCTAATTCTTTAATTTGCCGTGAAAACGCATCGTCCATGTTTCAAATATTACGGCAGGAGTTTAAATTACCGAAATAGAAAAATCTCCTTCCAAGACTTTCTTTTCCTCTGCTGAGAGAGAATTCGCAAATGGGGAGAGGTCACCACCCCTCTCCACTCCCCGGGCTTGGCGACGCCCCTAATGACAATGCCACACATAAATCCCTGGATTGTGGCAATTGTTACAACAAAAGTTTAGAGGATTCAGCGATGACTCAGGAGGACAATGAGAAAAGAAATAGCTGTTGTTGTTTTATTCGCCATTTAGTAAAAGTAGGTTGCATTATTAGAAAGAAAATTAAACAAAACTTTAGTGTTGACATCATTCGTCCTCTTATCCTATCAATCATTTCCCTCTGTTTTGGCACAGTGAAGACACCATACCGTGCATCACGGCGATGAGTAATGACAATGACTAGGTTTAGATTGAAAGACAATGGATTCGCAAGGGGGAGTTGAGGTCTCATTAGTGACATAATCTTTCAGCACTTTTCAGCGAAATATCTCTTTATCGCATGCAATGACACAGAGGAGCTGGGAGTGCTTGCGACTTAAAAAAACAACGCTTTGTAAGAAATAAGTAAATATATTTTGGTTAATTGGATATGACTCAAGTAGTTAAAAAATGTTGAACCTAATATTACAAATCATCCAGGAAGGAAAAAAGCACATAAAGATGCAACGTAAAGGAAAAAATTATCTACATCATAAGACAACGATTCATAAAAGTTTTGTATTTGTTTTCATAAAATAAATCGTCGTATGGGTCCAAAACGGGGAAGGGGCTACAAAACAAAAATATGTATCATTTTCACCAATTGGGAGGGGAAAGTAGAAGGTAGAGTATTAATCTGTCTTCAATTTTCCCTTCTTACCCCCCCCCCCCATGTTCCCCCTTTTTCTCTCTGTATCTCCCTCTCTTTCTCTCTCTCTGTCTGTATGTCTGTCTGTCTGTCTCTCTCTCTGCCTCTGTCTCTCTATCTCTCTCTACCTCTCTTTCTCTCTCTGAAAAAAATTTTCCCTGTAACTCTAAAGCTGTTTGATTTTACAGTATTTATTTAAACGTGATAAAACTCACGATCAATACTTCCTTTGGAATATCCGAATTATAGATCTGTAACAAAGATTTTAAAGGTTGTAAATGTTATCTAAACACGAATTGGTGAACATGAATTTCTAGCGAAGATAAGCCCCGAAATCCCGACAAGCCTTTCAACGGAAAACCCAACCTTCAGACACGGGGCCTCGCCCGGGTAGAGTATTTGAAGCAAAAGAGCACCTGACGAAACCTGCACTTATTTTTTAAAACAGTTTTTTTTTACTACTCTGGCGATCATTTCGAGTGTGTTATTATCAATATCATGATAATTGAATGGTAGCTATACCCTTTTTTCTATTGCGCAAATCACCAGAATTAAATTTTTTTTATCTATCTCGCTGATTCTCGTTTTCTTCATTATGTAGATAGACATGACTTGCTATTCTGTATATGTTTTACAAAAAGACTTTTGAAATAGAAAATGCTTCACATATGATATTTTCTTTTGCAGTTTCATTTCAATTGATATCATTTCTTTTATCATTAGTATTATTGTAACTATTATCATTATTATTATTGTTACTATTACCATTATTAATATGTTATTATTTTTATTTTCATCATTAGCTTTATTACTGTTATAAAATATATTATTGCTTGTTTCAAAATAGTACTATTATTATTATTATTACGATTTGTTATTATTTAAGTAATATTGTCTTCTTCATAATAAGCATTCTTATAATCACCGTGATACTGTTACTTTGTAAATAAATGGTTAATCAGGTCAATGCAAAGAGGGGTAAATTAAAATTATTCGAACCCTTTCTTTTGGGGGTCACAAAATTGTCATCGTTAAGACCTTCAACTTCCTCTACGTGATGTATCCCAAACGATCCTCTTCCTCCCCCGGTAGCTGCCCTCAACATCCGCCCCCGTCTCTGTCACTAGAGATAATTAAACTCCCGTGCCCCTCCCCCAAATCAAGCCAAACAACTGCAGTCATTTATTTTCCCCCGGCATTTTGTAAGTTTTCGACCAACCTGTCAAATTTCCTGAAGGACGTCAAAGAAATAAGAGGTTAGGGTCAAAATTATTTCAGAGGAATCTTCTGAGGGATTTCTGCGGATGTTTTCTAAGCTTTAATCATGCTATGGCAACAATTCTTCTTTTTTTAAATTAATTTTCACTGTACCTCTTTCTTTCCCAGACTAATAATAATAATGGTATTAATTTGGCTTATTCATCAATCAAAAGAACGGAGGTCTTAATTGTTGGTAGAAAGTCAATTCACATTTGTTTCGATTGTTTTAGCTAAAGTTCAAAACAGTCTAATCCACACATGGATTGTTAATTGATAGTCCTCACAAAAATACATTGCAAGAAAGAAAAAAATTATTCGTGCCCATGCTATAATGCAAATTGGAGACAGACATTGCATTTGTTTACTTGACTCTATCTGTCGTTTCTCGTTGCACACACAATGCGTCATTTCGATTGCGCCTTTGCTTGCGCTAATCAATATTATGAATGCAATGGCTGCCTACGTCATTAACTCAACAGAACATGCGAACTATTAGTTTTACATTAAAATTGCGAACGATATCCTGCCACTTTCACATCTCGCGTAAAAAACGACACCATTAGAGACTTTTAGATTTGCGTGGACTGATACGTGTGACTTCCATTCAAGGCAGTGCATTAAAAGGACGTCGATCGTAGCAATCCCCATTGTCTTCATGCGAATCTAAAAGTCCCTATTCGCTGACGTATGTGTACGTCAGGCAAATAACGCCTCGTGTGCAATTGAATTAACGGACTATCCGTTTCTTATACACGAAGGTGTATGCAGGAACGATAGCTTTACGAGTGGCTTTAATTTGTGATAATGAAAAGTATCCCAGATGGCTTCAAAGCCTGTCAATTAAAGAAAAGCACTTTTAATTATACTGTCAATCTGGTATAACAGAGATAACGTGGATATTATGTTCTATTGTCTACTTTATTGACGGATAATAATAATGATAGCTAGTTTTTATATAGCGCTTTTCAGGACCGAAGGCCCTCTCAAAGCGCTTTACAGAAATATATATATTATTACCCCTGTCATCGGATTCAGGCTTACCCGCACACGATATATGCACATTTTCCACTCCCTGGGGAGCATTCCAGCCAGGCGTCATTTTTACAAGCGCACACTTGCTAATCTAAGCACATTAAGCTTTCGCATCCTACCGGGTACCCATTTAACACCTGGGTGGAGAGTGGCAAATGTAGATCAATGTCTTGCCAAAGGACATTAGTGCCGCGGTGGGACTTGAACCGCGGACCTTGTGATCCACATTCCGGTGACATATCCACTCGTCCACGACACCTCTCTCAATGACAAGCAGGACCGTATTCAAAAGAAAAGGAAACTTTAAAAGTTACGGGGGTTCAAGCATCCCTCCTTAAAAATGAATTTTGATATTAAAAAAAAAACTTATTAAAAGAAAGAAGTAAGATTAATACAAATGACAAATTACAATAAAGAAATAGATAGATAGATAAATAAATAAATACATGTCATGACTTTCAAAAATAGAAGATAAATAAATGAATACATTAATTGCCCCGCCCCGCTTTGCCCCGCTTCGCCCCCTACCTTTTCAATTTTTTTAAAAGCAAACAAATAATACAATTGCTTCGCTAAGTGGCAGCGGAAAAGCACTTCATGGATTAAATTGCTTTTGGCAACATACATCACAGGCTATTCTTAGATTAAGTTGGCTCGCCTCTTTGGCACAATTTAGTTTGGTATATTTATCCTTTTTTGGCATTCTTCCGTGGCGAGAGAGAAAACAGACTATATATGGAGCATCTCCGCATCCCTTCTAATGCAGACATCCGCCTATGAAAGTCATCCTACCACACTGTTTTTATGTGTGGGATTAAAGCGTTTAAATGAGTTGATATGGAATTAAAGACTGTCGACAAAACATTTAAGAACTTGGTCATTTGTTTAATTGATAGACCCATGGTGTGGGGAAAAGGCTTTTCATACTTTTTTAAGGTTTGAAAATACTCTCTTATCTGAAATTTGAAATATTTTAACAAAATTCGAAGTAATACATCTAACTTTGATGCAAGTTAATAGTCTTGTTTTATTTCCGAGATTTAAACCTCTTGCATATTATTTTACTGACATCATTTAAAAGTACACAAATAAATTTATATATAAATATAGTGACATGATGTTTATCAAACCAGATTTATTAATATTACTCATTGTCTCAAATCTCCATTTTTTCTATGAAAAGGCCCCCAAAAGGGAAGTAAAACACAGATCGCTTATATTCTATTTTAAACTACTAAGTATCTTTAATAGGTCAACTCTCCCAGACATCTTTTAACTAAGGCACGCGTTCATCTTACATATATGGGACTAAGGTAAAGGGCAGCGATCAGTTTAGACATGCATCCATTTTGAGTAGGTGGGACAATGTAAACCATAAAGGTCAGTGCGCATGTCATATCCTTCCTCTCCTGATTGACGCTCTCTGACCTCGCCCTTATCCTGCTGTGACGTCTTCCAGTTCCCAATTTAGAGGTGTTTATTCTATGGTGTTTGGGGAAGCAACTTTTTCGGCAATACTCTACTTTAATATGCATCAGTTTTGATAGAATTTATTCATATTGTTTGCGTGTTACGTTTGTTTTAAGTAATGTCGACGATTTGTATCTTTAGCCATTACGAATGAAACCTATCAAACTTTCCATGGAAATATTTTGCGTAAAAATTTGTCAAATTGTTCACCCATATCCTGCTGTGAGGGGTTGCTGTTGCCAATTTAATACCAAAAGAGGATTTAGAGATTTCCATTTTTAGGAGTTGGCTATAGGGGTCTTTAAGAAAAGAACAGTCTAACCAGTTAACTTAAGGATGCATCATTTTGGCATTTGGGCAATTAATATTGTAATCATGTTTGTTCTTTTGTTTGATCACATTGTACTAGTAACTTGTTTTAATGTCTTTTTCACACATTTCAAGAGTTGACGCACAAGGCTATTGTGTTTTCCTGAGGTTTATTTTTTTTAAATTCTGTTTACGATCCTGTTCTGGAGTGATCACAATGCTTAGATGAAGTAGACAATAATATAGAAATCAGGAGAGAGAGAGAGAGAGAGAGAGAGAGAGAGAGAGAGAGAAGAATAAAGAGAAGTAGAGATCTTTTCAAAAGAAAAGGGAAAATACGTTATATTTGGAAATGTCATACAATCATGACGTGACACATAAGTACCTGAAACTTGATCATCACACATCGACCCCCCCCCCCACACACACACACACCCTCTCATATTCTGGGATAAAAATGGATAACACTTCTTACCCGCAAAATACACCTAGTCATACCCCTTCTAAATCCATACGACATCATAACTCAGGAAGCTTACATACTTTGTCGGGAAATATCTCTCAACATACGTTCCTCACAAACTGCTGTGTTTGACTCACACCATACCTCGATCAATTTTTTTTCTTTCAAAAAATAAATTTGAAAAAGTGACAGAATTAAAGACATAGTACACAGCTATCAACAGTTTAATAAAAATGATTTAATTCATATAAAATTCCTAAAATGAATGTCAGAACGACAAAATGTACAGTCTATCCATATAAACTCTAGTATGGCAAGATTACAAAATCATGTTCAAATAATGAAAATTATCGATGGCACATGAAGAAAAAAAGACATAAAATTTAAGGTACAAACAAGACAAAATTAAGAGATTAAAGAAATGAAAATAATAATATTCACTTCACTTTTTCGGGGAGGGAGTTGGGTTAACAAATATACATCTAAATACTAGGAGCATGATTTGTACATCGGGGTTGGGAATTATAAAAAATTAAAGAAAATGATAACATTCAATTCACTTTTTCGGGGAGGGAATTGGGTTAACAAATATACATCTAAATATTGGAAGCATGGTCTGTACATCGGTGTTGGGAATTATAAACGTAAATCGAAGGATATTTTCTAAAATGTTTATTGCTTTGGCCGGTATTTCTATGACAGTACAGTAAGTCTGACATTTCGAAAGCTGCAGTGGAGGATCACAATTTAAAACGTCCATGGGTAACTATAGCAGATGGTATGCGGAGATGACGCCGTTACGGGTGAGATGACCGCGTCTTTTGCGTAGGTTGACCGCGGTAAAAATCATGGCGTTTCTTGGTTCGCGGTTCCTTGGTTGACGTAAAAGGCAGGAGGGGGTGCGCTGCCGCCCATTTCGCAGATGAATTGCCTCCTCATGTTGCAGTTCCTGGTGGCCCATCTGTTCTGGAAGGATACGGTGCACATGTTGGGTCCTCGCATGGGGTTTCCCGGCTGTAGACAAGATAAAAAGGGGTAAAAGAGAGAGGGGGTAAATAACGGGTTATGAACGGTTACATCGGTTGTGCGATACTACCTGCTGCGACAATCGCATCACTTCAGTTTCATTTTACGAATCGACTTCCTAACTTTAATCCTGGACCCAACACAACACCTACCCCTACCCCTTCCCCTACCCCTAACCTAAATCCCAATTGCAACACTAACCCTAACCCTATTCCGTTGAGAAGTCAGGTAAATGATATGATTGGGTGATACCCAGTCAGACCGAGGAGATGAACACCAGCCCGACAATCGACCGAACCAAAATCGCAATACACCGAATGTGAACAAATGTTGTCAATTATTGGTCGATCTTGATTCTATTTTGCCGGTGTGAATATTTGCACAGAAATGTAATTAAAGTTTCGCCAGGAGGGATTAGACCTCTTTGCCTGGTCACTGACTGGTGGTTATCTCATCAAATCAGCTCTCAATTAACATACGAAAAGGGGATCATGGGGGGGGGGGGGGACCAATGGTCACCGCTTAGGCGGTGTTACTATATAGAAGGTGCAAGTAGATACAAGTAGTGTAGTCCCGCTTTAAAAGCAAAGAGGCCTGGGTAGGCCTGGGTAAGGCCCCTCTATGAATGATAAATTAAGGTTTGTAGAATGGGAGTGTCGATGTCGCTACTCGCTAAATACCGGAAAGGGGTTTAAATAGTCCAATATGGTGATAGATTTAAAAAGGGCCACGAAAATCAAGTTCATGTAATGTTACTTTCGTCCATTGTCTTGACAGACGTCAGACCTAAATAAAACAAAACGCAATAAGATTTCCTCGACCAGACTTGGTAATGTCATGACCCGTTCTGTCTCCTGCGTCATTACATACATTCTCTTAAGAATATCAAATTTTAAATCGTTAACCCACATTTAACGTCTCAGAGTACTCCCAAGTTTCCTGTTTTGGACACCCCCCCCCCCCTTCCCCTCTTCCCACCCCTAAATTAAAACAGTTCTAGCACCTTTTTCTTCCGGCTGCACGATGGCCAAGACTTTGAAGAAAAAAAATCAACTTTATAAGAGCAGTTTCAATACCTTAGTGTGATGAATAGATAAATCATATTCGGGTTACGTAATATTGCATTTTCGTACACTTGAAATACTGACGAACAAGGGGTAATGAAATTTTAGATTGCTTGTTTTCTTTTGTTATGTTTTTCTTAAAGTTCTAGTCGATCATGATATTGATGTGGTGCTCCCTTACGTAGGCCTATAAAGCCTGCTGGACAGCGAAGCGATAAGCTCCGTATGAACTGCAAATTATCCCCTCTTTTGCAAAAGTAGAGTGACCAAGCAATATCTTAAATGAAAAGCGGTTGCAGGGTTATTTCCATCTACTTTCCAAAGTAATCCTGTAATCTAGGAAGTCTGGGATGCAGGAAAGACAACAAACAAGCATTTACATGTAGCACAAGTTACCACAGGGGCACAGCGGAGGGGGCATCGGATGTTGATGTTGTTGTTGTTAGGGTTTGCTTGTTTGTTGTGTATTTTTGTTTTTGTTTTGTTTTCATTGTGTTACTAAGAAGGAAAGAAAGGGGGAAACATATATTAAGTTACGAACTTAGACAAAAATACAAACCATCCTTTGTGAATCTAATTTTATTTTGTTGGATAGAGACAAGCGTTTTCATATTCATATGGGCAAGTACCCCCACCCCCTTGCCCACTACTCCGTTATCTATTCTCAAATATGTATCGGCATAATAAAGACCGTACCCCCTAACACCCCCCCCCCCCCCGACATCAGTGAGGTAGCGAGGGTCCATCTATTGGTGAATACAAATTGATAAGAAAAATTATCAGGGAGGCGTCCTTTCATGCTCTCTTTAATACCTTTTCTATTTATTTATTTTGTTCTCTCTCTCTCGCTTACTCCCTCCCGAGTCCATTTCATACTGGACCACCCCCCCCCCCCCCGAAACCGGTAGCTGCGCTATAGCCCCACAGGATTGACGTTATTCCGCTGGATATTAATACTTCACAATCTTGTAAAGGGGGTCCATCCTTACAAGGTTTAAACTGCAAATCTGTCTTTAATAGGGTAAACCGAGATCGCCATGGTGACAAACAAACCCCATCCTGTTCTGATCTCCTTCATCACGTTCTCCTAGCCCGGGAGAGCCCGGGAGATCACGAGATAGAAAGGGATCTGACCTTTCTAAAAGGATGACTGTCTAGTCCCTGGTGATTAAGTTACTTATTGCCAATAACTTGTATGAAGTTTAAGAGATAAGATTCAACATTTTCTTATTATTCTCTTGAACTTGTATGGCAAGTTTGTACAGAGGTTCTTTGGTTTCAGGGCCAACGATTGTTAAGCAATCTTATAAAGATATTGCTTATTAAACCATGACGGACAATGTTTGAGAATGGGGAGTTTGATGGATAAAATGTACCAAGCAAATAAGAACGAAATAGTGAGGACAACATGTTACGGATAAAAAGAAGGGACAAACTATCCTTGGAAGGAAATACATAACAGACATATCGACAGGGACTCACAAATTTGGAAAGTTTTGGGTGAGAACACTAAGCGAAACGAAAATGATAACCAAAAGGAAAACTCTTGGTTGAGCGTTACAAAATCGCAAAATTATGGAGTTCAATATGGAATAGAATGAAGGATATCTATTAATAACAAGCTTATAACAACCACGTATACTGCTAAGTGATACCCACCACACCCAAAAGTATTCTTCCGAGGAGGAAAAATGGGTACAAATTTGTGACAAGGAAATGAGGGAGCGGCATGTAAACTGTCTCCGGATATACATGTACGTGACACGCACAAACCCACATACTGCAACCCGCACACCTTATCCTATAAGTGATGGTTCCATATTTCATAACTACATCGATGTAACTTAATCTTTAAATCTTAGTTTTCAGTTCTCTTTTTTCCCCCCTCTTCCGAGTCAGTCAAGTATCTATCTTGCAATTAGCACATGGGAACCATAAATGTCATTCAATGTTCCTGACAAGCCGTTCGATTGTGTTTTGCCATCGGTAATTAATAGACTCATAAAGGGATTTAACCTATTAACTCACCGATGACATGGCATTATATCGTTCCAATAAGACAGTTCCATCTACGCAACAATGCAGATTAGCTTGTTTAAATCATGTGCTACCGCTCGCCCTCCCTCAACTTATAGTCACTTCCGCCATTTTGAGAAATAGAATTTACCATTTCCCTTCAGTGGATGTTGACGAAATGTCCCCGGGGATGTAAAAAGAAGGACATAATGTTTCAAAAATTGAGATGCGTTGGTTTGGATGGGATGCTTTATTTTTTCAGATGCTGCCTAAAATGCACGATTGGTGACTATGAAATATCCCTTAACTGTGCCCACATAGTTGGAATATTCCGCAGGGAGTGGAGATGGTACAGCTAGTACATCCCTGCATGGGATGCTAAAAATCAAGACTGAAGCAATAGAATTGTCCCCAGAGAATGTGTCGTAGAATATAATCCTCATTTTAACCAATAATTTTCAACATCATCGTCATCATCACCATCATCATTGTCATAATCTTCAGATTACCTAACGAGTACTTACATGCCATGGGTTGGTGAGAGCTGGGTTGAGTGGTTCGCCACTGGCCCAGCGGAGGGGGCCGTTGTAGGTCCTCAGTCCAAGCCACGTCTCGTTGCGCGCCATCTGGTTGAAGTTAAGGATGTCGGTCACCTGTTGCTTCTCGAAGTCGGTCGTGATGGACACCAGGTGGCCACCGAATCCTGTCTCGCAGGAGCTCTGCTGACTGCAGAGCATTGCAGCCTGCTCGTAGGTGGCGGCCATCTGAGAGACCTTGTAGCAGGAACGGCCGGACTGGGACCAACCGAACGGGCAAGCGGTGACCGCTAGGGCCAGAGCGGCGAAACACATTAATCGAAACATGATCAAAAGGCGAACTTCTCCCAGTTGGTGATGAGAGGCCACAATTCAAATTGGATGTTTGGGAATCCTTCCTTGAAGCTGTTCAGAGAAGACAAATGTGAACGGATGAGGATGTTCTGCTATGCGAAGGTATGGATCGGCACAGGTGTAGCGTTAGGGTGTTGAAGCGATTCAAAATGGGTCGGGAGTTAAGTTAAGGGTGGTACTGCGCGAGTTAGATGGGGATGTTAAGTACGAGGCCGGGCTTGTCATCAAAGGGGCACAAGGAAATTGAGGGCGATTCGAGAGGTTCATGCTGACGTGCATTATGGAAATTGTTCCCCCCCGCAACCAAAGAAAAAACATCGAAAGAGAGACAGGGGAAGAGAGCGGGAGAGGACGAGAGAAGAGAGAAGGGATAAAGGATGGATAAAGGTGTTCACTTTCTACGCATGCGCAAAAGGTAATGAATCATCATCGAGGTTGTACACAAATCCGCTGTACGGAACTCGCCAAGTAATGACGATCTTCCGTGAGCTCGCCTCAACTACGTAAATAACACTGCACAGGACTGTGTGATGAAATTAATCAAATTATGGTCAAAGGTTTGGGGAAATTTTAAAAAGTTTCCCCTATCCTCTGCGTCGAAAACATCTGGAAACTACGTAATACTCTTTCGCAAGAACACGTTACTGTCGGCGTATATTTCTCTTAAATGAAGACATTTCTGTAGATTAATTATATTATATTGATGGATGATTATTTTGATCTTTAAACAAAAATCCATGGCTCATCTTTTCGCCCTAATTGCCTCATTTCACTAATCATTATGTCTCTTTTTTCCCTCTCTCTCTATGTCTCACTCTCTCTCTCTCTCTCTCTCTCTCTCTCTCTCTCTCTTTTCTCTCTCTCTTCTTCTCTCTCTCTCTTATTATATTTCTCATTATATTTATCAGTCTTTCTATATCTCCCTCTATGTTTGTCTTACCCTCATTTTTATCTTCTCTCACTGTCTCTCTCTCTCTCTTTCTCTTTTTTTAATATATCTACTCACCTTTTGATCTATCCATGTACATAATATATATATCCTGTTTTTCCTCCTTCAATTTTGTATTCACTTTCTCTATCTCTCTCTCTCTCTATCTTTCTTTCTCTCTCTCACCCCATCATCCTTTTACCCCTCTTTGTATCTACATATCCCCCCCCCCCCTTTATTCTGGTTTTCTCTTCCTTTCTATATGGCTTTTTGTTCTGTGTCTATGCTTCTCCCAATTAAAGTCCTTTTCGCTTGCCCACTATAAACTATTAAAAAAATCTTTTTAACAATTACGTTGTCTGATACTAAGCCAATCAGATTTATTTAGAAAACCACATAAAACAAACCACATGACATGCCAGTTTATTTGTTATATGGTTCCATATTCCAATTTTAAACCGTACTTAGGAAGGGTGTTCATTTCAGGGACACGTGTTGCTGTTTTTTGTGTTTTTTTAAAGTCTTTATTAAGGCAATTCTGGTACATGATAATCAAATGTTCGTATGGACAACAAATATATAGTTCAATATAATGTTCAAGTTATTTCACTACCAACATTTTAAAACAACATATCTGCCATTTCTTTTTATTGCAATCGAGAAGATTTTTCCTGAAAGCAATTATACGCTCCATATTTCTAAATGTTTAAGAGCTCGTAGAAGCAAACAAAATAATGGAATAATATTTTGCAGTTAACAGGTAAATATTAAATATTGGACACAATAGAAATGGTGCGTAATGAGAGTAATAAGAAAAATATTCATGTGTGAAACAAACATTACCATGAAAATATATCATTTAAAAGAGATCTTGCTTTTTCACACAAAGTAGACACAAAATAAATACCTACATCTATTTTACATAGAAAAACGTTTATTTATGAGTAATTTGATTATTTATTGATGATTTATATATAAATGTAATTTTTTCCCCTCAGGTTTTTTTTTCATGATTCTGCAAATGACATAACAATATGATCGAAAAAAATCGACCTATGGCCATTACATTAGCTTTATGCGTCATCTATTCATATGTTCGAACATGGCAATGGCATATAACCTAATACAAACATGAAATTACAAAATACATGCCTTTAAAAAGTTAAATGCCTTTAAAAGGTTGATTTCTTGAAAGTCTAAGCGATCATGCTTATGATTGATAATTTTGAAACGATAAAGGTTCCAATTCCGAATTATTATTATTTTCTTTTTAATTAGGAGCCTTGACATTCGTCATGTAGCATTTTATTTCAGTTACTGCATGGTATTCTGGTTAGGCGAATATCATAATTATCATAATTACATATCCATATGTAATTCTGTACTCAGTATGACAAGCAGACGTGGCTTTACATAAGTAAACATCTTAAAAGGGTTTATAATGGAATAAAATAGTCATACATTTATCGTGAATATTTGAACAAGATTTCGCCTTTTTTCTTAGAGTCGAGAGACACGATGTAATCTGTCAAAGGTTACACTAAAGAACGCGCGGAACAAATATCAAAACACCAGACCAACTTTAATAATACAAATACTAAAGAGATATGTGTTCATGTGTTTTGAATAATCTTGCATAATCACAGAGAGAGTGTTCAAAGTGCAAAGTTCAAAGTTTATTCAACACTCTTCATAAAAACATTCATAACATACAAATACAGAATAGAACTATTTAAAAAAAGAACAAGATAGTGATAAAATATTACAATGGCAATTTATGAGAGCAATTGGGATAGGCAGAAAAGAGGGATTCCTTATATAAAAGCCTATATTCCTAAACACACACATACAGCGAAAAGGAGAAAAAAAAAAAACTATCATGTACAATCCTAGTTTTAAAAAACACTAACAAGAGAGTGTAACAAATTTACAAAAGTGTCAAAGGTGCCCATGCTATTCTACTGCGGACGGGGACGGCCAAAGAATTTAAAGATTTTGCGAATATTTCTAAGAACTGGTCGAAAAAGTATCTGAAAATCAAAACAGTCCTTGCCCCCTATACCCCACCCCTATAAAAACCTGACTGGTTAACATCTTTAAAGCATTCGCTGATAGCGTCTTTCCTGCCAATGAACCTCAATCCGATACTTTCGTTATTCTGACGGGGGTCACATTTCCGAAGATTCGTTTAATATTCCGAATTGTGCACATTTCCGAAGATTCGTTATTCCGAAGGGGTCACATTTTCGAAGATTGGTTATTCCAAAGGGGTTCACAAAGTGGCGAATCCAGGGGGCCCGGGGGCGCCCCTCCCCCCGTGGCAAAAAAAAAGGGAAAAAAAGAAGGGGAAAAAAGGGGGAAGGTAAAAAAAAGAAGGAAAAAAAAAAGAGGGGAAAAAAGGGGAAGGATATCAAAGGTATCAAAATATGCTAATCTGACCGTAATTAAATGCCTAAAACCTCTTAAGTTCCGGTGGCTCTGCCCCCTGGACCCCACCTAGGGCCCTAAGGCGGACGGACGGATGCTAATCTGACGGTAATTTAATGATTAAATCCCCTGAGCTTCTGGGGTCTCGGCCCCCTGGACCTCACGCCAATTGGTGTCCTGCCAGTGTCACAAATAAGGTATCAAAATATGTTCATCTGACCGTAATTAAATGCCTGAAACCCCTAAGTTTCCGGTGTTCTACCCTCTCGGCCCCACTGGGGGCCCTAATGCGGGCCCTTGCATGCTTGTCTGACCGTTATAAAATTCCTAAAACCCCTGAACATCTGGGGCTCCGCCCTCTGGAGCCAACACTAATTTGTGTCCTGCCAGTTTCACAAATAAGGTATAAAAATATGCTCATCTGACCGTTATTTATTGCCCAGAACCCCTGAGCTTCCGGGGGCTACGCCCACTTGACCCCCCCCCCCACCAATTCGTGACCTTCCAGTGTCACAAATAAGGTAAAAAATATGCTCATCTAACGATAATCTAATGTATAAAATCCCTGAGCTTCCGGGGGCTCCGCCCCCTGGACCCAACACCAAATTGTGTTCTGCCAGTTTCACAAATAAGGTTTAATAAATATGCTCATCTGAAGTTATTTATTGCCCGAAACCCCTGAGCTTCCGGGGGCTCTGCCCCCTGGACCCCGCACCAATTCGTAACCTGCCAGTGTCACAAAATAATAAGGTATAAAATATGCTCATCTAACGATAATTTAATGTATAATATCCCTAAGCTTCTTGGGGTTCCGCCCCCTGGACGCAACACCAAATTGTGTCCTGCCAGTGTCACAAATAAGGTATACAAATATGCTCATCTGACCGTTATTTATTGCCCTAAACCCCTGAGCTTCCGGGGGCTCCGCCCCCTGGACCCCACACCAATTCGTGACCTGCCAGTGTCACAAATAAGGTATACAAATATGCTCATCTGACCGTTATTTAATGTATAATTTCCCTGAGCTTCTTGGGGCTCCGCCCCCAGGACGCAACACCAAATTGTGTCCTGCCAGTGTCACAAATAAGGTATACAAATATGCTCATCTGACCGTTATTTATTGCCCAAAACCCCTGAGCTTCCAGGGGCTCTGCCCCCTGGACCCCACACCAATTCGTGACCTGCCAGTGTCACAAATAAGGTATAAAATTTGCTCATCTGACGATAATTTAATGTTTAATTTCCCTGAGCTTCTTGGGGCTCCGCCCCCTGGACGCAACACCAACTTGTGTCCTGCCAGTGTCACAAATAATGTATACAAATATGCTCATCTGACCGTTATTTATTGCCCAAAACCCCTGAGCTTCCAGGGGCTCTGCCTCCTGGACCCCACACCGATTCGTGACCTGCCAGTGTCACAAATAAGATATAAAATATGCACATTTGATGATAATTTAATGTATAAAACCCCTGAGCTTCTGGGGGCTCCGCCTCCTCGACCCAACACCAATTTGTGTCCTGCCAGTGTTACAAATAAGATATAAAATTATGCTCATCCGACGATAATTTGATGTATAAAACCCCTGAGCTTCTGAAGGCTCCGCCCTGGGAAAAAACGTGTAAAAACACATTAATTTTACCCTTTTTGGGGGAGATGCCCCCCCCCCCCCCAAGGCGCTCAAGGGGGGGGGGGTTCAATTTTAGTGCTCACTACCCCCTCCCCCTCCCCATACACACACACACACACACACTGAAATAGTGGCCGGCACGATTTTCAAATGTCAGCATACTAAATTTCAAATTGATTTCAAATTTGGGCTCCCACCCCTGAGAAATCCTGGATCCGCACAATTCCGAAAATTCGTAATTCCAAAATTGAAATAGGGTTCGCAATTATAAATAGGAAATAGGGTTCATGATTTTAAAGATGAAATAATTTTAAAAAGGAAATAGGGATCATGATTTTGAGTATGAAATAATGTTAATAATAATTTCACAAAAATGAAATATATGGTTCATAATTGTAAAGATTAGATAGCGGTTTATAGTTCCCAAAAAGAAAATTGAACCCTTTGTCGACGACCCCCCCCCCCCCTCCGAAAAAAGTACTCTGGTCATACCATATTTCTTTTGGAAAAGGTCGGCAGGCAATGAAAACCAGTCATCAATTAATTTTTGGCCAGAGGAACCATTTGAAATTTGTATCCAATCCTATTTTCTTTTTTTAAATCGACAAAATTTAAAGTGTTTTGGAAAGATGTCAATAAAA